CCAAGAACATCCCAGGGCAGAGCACAAGGACTGAGTCTGTTTGTACAGTCCAACTCCTGAATAACTAAACATTCTATCGAGCCATGGCAGGTGAGAAAGAGAGCATGCAGTCCATCAGAAATTATGGATAGGCACATCCCTGGGTCACTCTCCAAATGGCTGAGCCAGTTCAGCTGTGAAGGAGGTATGGGCCTCAACCTTACTGGGTGTCCCCCTGAGACAGGTATATGCTATAGGCTGATTTCTTTTTTCCTTTTCCTTTTCCTTTTTTAAACTTTCAGCAAGAATGTCCAGGTGTTTTTCAGAATAACATTAGAGAATATACATTGCTTTGACCACATTAAAAAAATCTTGCAACTCTTTTAATTGAAAAATTGTAGCCTTAGAGGAAATTTGAAATTTAACAGGAAAATGGGGGTTGCCTTTGTGTCAGGGAACTAACTTTTGCCATCACTGTGAAAATGTGCCCAATTCTGGTCAAATTATCAGCCTCTGAAAACTTCCATTTGCACATGCCTGGGGAAAAGATTTTGGAAGATTCCTTCTACATTGGCATAGTTTATGCCAATGAGCTATAAGGACTGAATTTTCCTTGAAGATGCCCCTCCATGGAGCTAAAAGTCTGTTATAACATTGGGAACAGGAACTGATGGCATTGGGACTGTTTGCCCTGGTCTCAGAGCTCCTTCTGTTGGCTTCCTGGCAATGGGAATGAACAGGCAGATAGGACTTATTGTAATGAAGAGTGGGAGACAAGGAGTAATAACTAGGGGTGCACCAATAGAGATTTTGGGGGCTGATACCAATAGCCGATATTTAAGAAGGCATATCAGCTGATCTGATATCTGATACAGCTACCTCCAGATGGTAAGTCCAGTGTGGTGGAAGGGGAGGGAAGGACCATGTAGGGGCAGATCAGCACACCTGCAGTGAGGGAGGGGGCATGGGTAGGGGCAGGCACTGCTCAGGGAAGGTGGAGGGGGTGCAGGACAGAGGCGTGTCTTGTGGGATGGGGCAGCTTTGGCCACTGCTTGCACCCAGGGAGGGTGGAGGGGGGCATGTGCCCCTGGATCTGTGTGGCACAGGGAGGGCTGCAGCTGCGGGGTGGAGCTGGAGCTGGCGCTGCATGGCTCTTCTCAGCAGGGGCTGGGCTTGGAGTGGGCTTATTTGTCTAACCACGTCATTCTTCCTTTTATAACACACAAGGTATGTGTAGTAGACTGCTCTGTAATTTCCTCCAAATGTTCCATTTTAAAACTATGAACTTATGAACTATATCTTTATATCTGTTTGAGAAATTGGACATTTCTTATTACTAAATAATTTAAAAGGAAACATTTATAAACAACAGATTATTCTGTTATTTCAAAACACTTGTAATATTAACATGTGAACACAAGATGGAACTCCTGTAATACAATAGAAAATTCTTATTTGGTAGTTGCTTTGCCTTCTTTGGTGGACGAGAACTCTAGAGACTTCTCATGGAAAATGTTTTACAAGAACATTAAAGATTCAGTCCAGTACTCATAAGAATTAAGAAATACTGGAGTTAAGGTTGCGTGCTTGCAAGAGCATAATTTTCCTTGCAGTCCCATCTCTCACTATTTCCCTTGAACTTTTGCCACTAATAAGGCAAGGGGCCAACAGACAACAGTCTCCTTTGTTGCACAACAGATTCATCCCCAGAGCACACTCTATCCCAGTGACTCTCAACCAGGGCGTCTTGGCATGGGTTGTATTAAAATCCCTTTAAGGGTGCTGTGGGGTATCACACAATATTAACACTATTCATTTTACAAACATGATTCACAATATAAACCAAGAGATTTCAAATTGAAATCTATTGTTGTGGTCTATCTGAGTTCTTTGCAACAGAAAAAGTGGTCTACTATTTTTGTGTTGTAAAAAAAAAAGGAAAAAGAGAAAGAAAACAAAGAGCTGGTATTGTCTAAGAGGTGCCATGAGTATAAAAAGCTTGAGAACCATTTCACTATCCTGTGTACTGAAAGAGGAAGTGTTTCCTTGGGGAAAAAAGAACACTACGCAGTCAGGGTGCAGGGCTGGAACCAGCGCGTGTGCTGCATGTGGTACCCAGCACTGGTCTGAGGTGCATGCTGCACATGGTGCCCACGCCAGACAGGCCTTGCATGCTGGATCCAGCACACAGTACTGGTGTAGTGGCCCAGTCTGGTTTGCAGACTGCCCCTGTGCTCCTATTTGGCCCACAGAACCAACTGAGTTTGACACCCTATCCTTACATGATTTTTCTATGCCTCTTTCTGATTTTCACTCTGTTCTTCATCATCCATTTCTCCCAAACTTTCTGGTGTCACGCTTCCTTTTTCTCTCATATTTTCTGCTTTGCATCTTCTAGCATTCTACCTCTATGTTTGTAACCATTTCTTGCTTCATGTTCACTCTCCCTTTGCCTTTTTAAAAGTCCATTTTGTACAAAAACCCTTCTCTTGTTCTCATAAATAAAATATCGTCCTTTGTCCTGTATTTTATTTTTTGTGTGACTTATCTTACGTGATAGTTCAGCAAAGGGGCCTGTATACCTTTC